CTGGAGTTGTCCTGCTATTACGGCTGATCTCCAAGAGACAGAGGGGAAATGGCCACTTTGGGGGGTGGACTGTATGGCGTTACGCCCCACTGAAGCCCCACCCCTCCTTAAGCCCCACCCTCCTCAGGCTCCGCCCCAAAATACCCAGGTATTTCCTAACCTGAAGCTGACAACCCTTTTCCCCACTGAAGACAAAGGTAGGATATAAATTAAGTAAATAAATGAATGTGGTTTTTCCCCCCTTCAGGATGCATCAGTCACCTTTCGGTATAATCAGTGTTTGCTCAAATTACTTGTCCTCTTTGATCTCTGTTTTAGAGCCACTTAACGGAGAAGGCAGGCTGTCTACCATCTGGGAAACTTTTGTCCATCTTTCCTTCCCCCTCATGTATCTTGAAAGCGGCATAGAAATGCAGGCAAAAGGCTATTTTTGCTTCAAATGGCTTACCGGAGAAATCTTCCAAGGCACGGAAAATAAGGCAGTTGTCAAATTTCGAAATCTCTATAGTCCTACTCCCTCCTTAAGAAGAGGTTTTGGTCCACTTCTTTTACTCCAAGACTTTTCAGTACTTCTCGAGAAGATGAAGCTCGAGTTACTGCCTTTAAACCTTCAAACCCTGAAACTAGGACAGCTATTTCTTTCATTATTAGCTCAAAAGTCAGTCACAGGCTCCTCGCCACCTATAGAATGAGCCCACTGCTGATTTTTCCCCCCCACCCCTCATCTCAGATGTACAAAACTAGGACAAAAGATCAAAAGCCAAACACACCCCCTTGGAAAACTGATAAGAAAACTAGGCCCGTGAGTTTAAAGTGACTTAAATAACGCTTTTTTAAAATGTAAAATTGTCATTATTTTAAAAAAAGAATTCCTTGAAAACATACAAAAATCAGAACAAAGTTTGAGTCCAGTGGCACCTTTAAGACCAACAAAGTTTATCAGGTGGGGTGGCCATGTTGGTCTGAAGCAGCAGAACAAAGTCTGAGTCCAGTGGCACCTTTAAGACCAACAAAGTTTTATCCAAGGTATAAGCTTTAGTGTTTACGCACACTTCTTCAGATACTTTGAAACAGAAGTTACCAGTCTATACATCTAGGTAGAGGGTGAGCAGCCAATTAGCACACAGCATAATAAAGGTGTTTAACTAAGCTTGTTATTCCAGTTTGGTCCTTGCATCTCTTAAACACCTTCATTACTCTGCATGCTAATTCGTTGCTCACCCTCTCCCTAGATGTATGGACTGGCAACTTCCATTGTGAGCAGCCAATTAGCACACAGCATAATAAAGGTGTTTAACTAAGCTTGTTATTCCAGTTTGGTCCTTGCATCTCTTAAACACCTTCATTACTCTGCATGCTAATTTGTTGCTCACCCTCTACCTAGATGTATGGACTGGCAACTTCCATTCCAATGTATCTGAAGAAGTGTGCATGCACACGAAAGTTTACACCTTGAATTAAACTTTGTTGGTCTTAAAGGTGCCTCGAATCTCCAATTTTAGTATCATAGAATCATAGAAGCATAGCGTCGGAAGGGATCTCCAAGGTCATCTAGTCCAGTCCCCCTGCACAATTCAGGAAATTCCCAACTACCTTTAAGACCAACAAAGTTTAATTCATGGTGTCCGATGTTGATATATTTATTCCCTCCATAATGTTTCCCCCTGGAATTAAACCCAAACAAATGAAGACCATATAAACTAAGCTTGTTATTGAAGTTTGGCCCTTGCATCTGTTAAATATCTTCATTGTGCTGTATGCTAATTTGCTGCCCACCCTCTACCTATATGTATGGACTGGCAACTTCCATTTCAGTGTATCTGAAGAAGAGTGTGTGAACACGAAAGCTTATACCTTGAATAAAACTTTGCTGGTCTTAAAGGGGCCACTGGGCTCGAACTTTACAGTCTATTTATTTATATAATTGGATGTCTATCCCGTCCTCCCCTGTGCAGGACATAAGAACATAAGAGAAGCCAATGTTGGATCAGGCCCATTCAGTCCAACACTCTGTATCACACAGTGGCCATAAAGACCAGGGGCCATCAGGAGGTCCAGCGGTGGGGCCAGGACACTAGAAGCCCCTCCCACTGTTGCCCCCCAAGGACCAAGAATACAGAGCATCACTTGCCCCAGACTGAGAGTCCCTATCTATACCTTGTGGCGAATAGCCACTGATGGACCTCTGCTCCATATGCTTATCCAATTCCCTCTTGAAGCATCACTTGCCCCAGACATAAGAACACAAGAGATGTTGGATCAGGCCAAAGGCCCATCCAGTCCAACATTCTGTGTCACACAGTGGCCAGAAATACCAGGTGCCATCAGGAGGTCCAGCAGTGGGGCCAGGACACCAGAAGCCCTCCCGCTGTTGCCCCCCACCCCCAACCACCAAGAATACAGAGCATCCCTTGCCCCAGGCTGAGAGTTCCTATCTATACCTTGTGGTATCTATATACTAATAGCCAAGACAACCCCTCTGTGTTGATATCTAAATCCATACATCGGGGGCACTTGGAGGGCAAAGAGATATCCCTGCACACTTGGGGCAATCCCCAGGTGTGCTGAAAAATTTGAAAAGTTGAAAAAAACTATATAGGAGATAATTAAATCCCCCCCAAAGTAAAAAAGCATTCATTGCGCATGTGCGGAGAATGCACTGGGAATGGTGCCTCACAGCTGTTGCCGGTGGGGGAGGGGGGGGGAGGGAAGCTTGACAGGCCTGGCGGCTGGAAGCCACTCGGGGCTCACCGCCGCTGCTGCTGGGGAAGCATGGCGAGCCCGGCAGCTAGGAGCCGCTTAGGCCTCGGTGCTGGGGAGGGAAGCTTACCTGTGGCCGCTTCCACCTCAGCCCTGAGGTCCTCCTGCTTCTGCAGGCCAGGAGCCATGGGGAGTACCCCCCACAAGTCTTGTGGGTTCCTCTTCTTGTATTATATAACAGTTAGAACAGTTAAAAATGAAAGCATAATTCCACAATGTTAAAACCTATTTAACAGTTGACACAACTCACAAGACGGCGATCACGCACGGTTAACAAGTTCTCCCAATACTATTTGTCTGTGTGCTCAAGATGGACCATGTACTGGGTACACCGCCGTCAATAGCACAACAGAAATGGTGCAAGGCAGGTTGGAGCAAGGGAGGCTGATGTAAAGGCGTGGTACATCTGCCCATTTTGGTATGTTTATTTTCTTCACTATTCCCCCCCTCCTCAAATTAAGCCCAAACAAATGGTGACCATATAAACTAAATTGTTATTCCAGTTTGGTCCTTGCATCTGTTAAACATCTTCATTATTCTGTTTGCTGATTTGCTGCTCATCCTTTACCTATATGGACTGGGCACTACGGTCAGGGTCTCAAAACCGATTGGCCCTCCCGGGGCCCAAGGACACCAGGCTGGTTGCAACCAGGGCCAGGGCTTTCTCGGTGGTGGCTCGACACTGGTGGAATGCAGCCTGCAGAGCCTGGTTCCTGATTGGTTATCGACAGCCTAGGTGCGCCGCTTATACTGAAGAAGATCAGTCAACTGGATATTTAAGCAACTGTGGAATGTATTCATATGGATACATTCCTATGGAAACTGCCATCGTTATGATATCAAAGAACACAGCTAGCACTAATATTTAATATGGTATTGTTCAATTGACATGTTTCTAAGTGTTTTATGAAACCTTGAGTGTTGTTATGGGTTTTACCTTGTGGAAGCCACCCTGAGCCTGCTTCAGCGGGGTAGGGCGGGTATAAGTGTGTGTGTGGGGGGGGGATTCCATTTCATTGTATCCAAAGAAGTTTGTGTGAACATGAAAGCTGATACCTTGAATAGCCACCCTGAAAATAGCCGCCCTGAGCCGCCGCGGCGGGAGGGCGGGGTAGAAATCCAATAAATAAATATTGAATAAAACTTTGTTGGTCTCCAAGGGGCCCCTAGTAAAAGGTAAAGGTTCCCTTGCTCGAAAGCCAGTCGAATCCGACTCTAGGGTTGCGGTGCTCATCTCCGTTTCAAAGCCGAAGAGCCAGCGCTGTCCGAATATGTTTCCGTGGTCATGTGGCCAGCATGTCTAAACACCAAGGCGCACGGAACGCTGTTACCTTCCCGCTGAAGTGGTACCTATTTATCTACTTGCAATTTCTTGCTTTCGAACTGCTAGGTTGGCAGGAGCTGGAACTAGAGACGGGAGCTCACTCCGTCATGCGGCAACTCGGGTCTCGAACTGCTGAACTACCGACCTTCCATAGCCTGCAGTTCAGCGTCTTAACCACTTGAGCCACCGCAGCTCCAAAGTGCCCCTAGACTCGAACTATATTCTGCAGCTTCAGACCAACATGGCGGCCCACCTGTACAAAAATCACGGTGAACATGACTCAAGATCGTACTTTTTCCCCCTGTGGAAGATTCTTAAAGCTATCTTGTGGGCAGTAGAAAAGGGAGGTTTTTTTCCCACTCAAGGAAAGTGAATAACCAAAATGTGTGTCTGCATGTCGCATTTTGCAAAAAACGTTTTGAGCATACACAGCCCTGTTGGATACAGAGGCTGAAATTGCGTCCTTTGACTTCATTCCCATAAGAACTCTATCTGCTTTAAAAGATTGTACTTTTTCCCCCCGTGGAAGATTCTTAAAACTATCTTGTGGGCAGTAGAAAAGGGAGGTTTTTTTCCCACTCAAGGAAAGTGAATAACCAAAATGTGTGTCTGCATGTTGCATTTTGCAAAAAACGTTTTGAGCATACACAGCCCTGTTGGATACAGAGGCTGAAATTGCGTCCTTTGACTTCATTCCCGTAAGAACTCTATCTGCTTTAAAAGATTCCTGCGGTATTATGGCTTGCCTTGACTTAGCGTCCTGCTCACCAGGATTATCTTAAATAATGTCGCCGTTCACGCGGGAAAAGAGTAGCTTATAGATGTTCATCCTTTCTGCCCCCCCCTTTCTCCAACTGTTTAATGGCTTTTAAGAAACATTTTCCGCCCTGACTTTATTTTCTGTTGCTTCTTCCAGCTGGCCGCTTTAGAGTTTCCTCCGAAGAAGCTCTTTGGAAACAAGGATGAACGAGTCGTAGCCGAGCGGCGGAATCACTTAGAGGTAATAGCCAGGATATTTACACAGTCCTGTCTCCTTGACCAATAGAACCATTTCCCACGGGACAGGGGGAATTAAAATAGCCTATCCGCAAATGGGCCGTTGGTGCCTGCTCCGTTTAACACAGAAGATGGCAGCAGTAGATCATAAAGTTATGAGGGCTGCGCATCAAAAAATGTCCCTCCGTTCTAGCGGGGGAGGCGTCTTCGGAGTTCCTAGGAAGCCTGTTTGTTCAAGGGCTAAAGAGGTGACACACGAGACGAATATTTAGCACAGCTAGGTGGGTGAATTTTTGAAAGAGGTTCGCCGGTGTGAATTCGTTTAATTAACTTCCTCTGTGTGGCCGTTCCTCCCTCCACACTGCAATGTTAAGTCTGTGGAAATGGCCAGCAATTTTTTTTTCCATTTCATTGGGTTTTATATGAAACATATGGAGCTATCTTAAGGTCAGGTCCACCCACAATCCATGTAGGAATGTTTTGCCTACACCAGAGGTCTCCAGCAGTCCGTCCATCAGTCTTTATTATGGCCCACGGGCCATTGAGAAGCAGGAAAACAGTGTTATCAGTAATCTCCATAAAACCTCAACATGCATCATTCGTCCTAACACTTTTAGCAATCTAAAGGGCTAGAATCTGAGAAGATTATACACAGCAACTTGTGTTTTCATTTTAGAGAGCAGAAACTTAGCGTAGGGCGCAATGTTCCCTCTAAGCTGTGGAATCTTGTGAGCAGAAATTCTACTTTGTGAGCTACTGGCATGAAAGCTGTGAGCGAGCGATTGGGCTCCTGCATAAATTAGCCTGCTCTGGAGCCATCCCTTCCTGAGCTAAGACAAAAAACTGTGAGCTGGAGGCTAAAAAACTGTGAGCTAGCTCACACTCACTCAGCTTAGAGGGAACCCTGCTTAGGGGTGCCAGCTCTGGATTGGGAAATAAGTGGAGTTTTGGGGGGTGGAGCCTGGGTAGGTTGAGGTTTGGGGAGGGGAGGGACCTCAGCAGGGTGCAGTGCCATAGATGATATTACTTTGTTATTGGCTCCCGGCTGCATCGAACTTCTCTGACCAAGCGAGAAAGATACACAATTGAACCATTGCTAATAGAAAGTGTGCCTGACCACGGCAGCAAGCTATCACAGATGAGGCCTCCGATTAATATCTTTGTCTTGATCACAGACAATAATCATTTTTTAAAAATTGTCTTGGTCAGTTTATAAGAAATTATTCCTGCATTGTAATGTCAGGATGTTGGGCTGGTGACCCCGGGCCCTAAGGAGGCCAGGTTTGCGGCAACAAGGGCCAGGTCCTTTTCAGTGGTGGCTCCTATCTGGTGGAATGAGCTCCCGGAGGAGATCAGGGCCCTGCGGGACCTTGTGCAGTTCCGCAGGGCCTGTAAGACGGAGCTCTTCCGCCAGGCCTTCGAGTAGGAGCCGCCACTGCCACTACCACCACCGCTCCATCATAGAGCGATACTGCCAGAGGGCCGGGTAACATCTATCCACGACCCTAGCCCTCCCCCTCTGCTATGCAAGATGTTGGGAGTTTTATGCGTGCATCCGATGGAACTGAATTTTAACTGTTCTAGCTTTTATATACTGTATGCGCTTTGTGCTCTGTGTAAGCCGCCCTGAGCCCATCCGCGGGGAGGGCAGGGTATACAATACAATACAATACAATACAATACAATACAATACAATACAATGAGCCATTTGATAATTACATTTGCTTGACCACTGGGGAAGGCCAATCAGCCGAAACTCTTATGGTCAGGGTCAATAATGCTCTTTCTTGGTGGTCGCTGTGCAGTTTGCGTCTTAATTGAGGCTCTCATAAGAGCCAATATCGATTTCTTAATCTACGCTGTAATAAAAACATGCATGTTTTTGTATACCGGTTGATACTTAATGTTTCTAATTTGACTGACAGAATTATTGGGTCTGTACATCCAGATCTGCAGCCTTTAGGTTCTTAATACCATGCCATGGAGTCCACCCTCCAAAGCAGCCATTTTTTTCCAGGTGAACTGATCTCTGTAGTCTGGAGATGTGTTGTAATTCTGGGAGATCTTTGGGGGCCACCTGGAGATTAGCAACCCATCTTCGCTACCGATACAGTACTTCTTTGGTTAGCCCCCGCCAGTAAGATTTTGAGAGCCTTCTGCTCAACAGTTTGTTTAATCAGCAAGCACGGGTTCCAGGTAATCGAAGCATGCCCGCACATCAAATCTGCAATGGGAAAACATGTGCACGAATGTTTCAATCAAGTTAGCAGAGCAAGGACGAAACCTAGGATTAGGTGGGGTATTTTAGTATCTCCCTGTCAAGAGTGCAGGTGGTAGCGTGTTAAATTTAGCCAGTGTAAATGCTTGGCGATTTCTTGCTACAGTTAGTTTTTTGGTTAGTTGGTTGGTTTTTTTATTAGCCCACAAACATTGTATCTATTCAAAATGGACGTAACGCGCATATTGACGTGGGATCGTTGAATAGTGGAGGCCAGGGCTTTTTTTGTAGAAAAAGCCCAGCAGGAACTCATAAGCATATTAGGCCTCACCCCTGACAGCACAACTCATTAGCATATTAGGCCACATCCTGTGCCTTCCCTTGGCTTGCTGGGGCGCCCTGCGACTGCAGGGAGCCCAGGCAAGCCGGCCCTTGGACAGGGTTGCCAAGTGTGACTTACCTTGCCGGCGGGGGACTCCTGGGGGATCCCAGTGTGTGCGCATGCACGCAATGCGCGCATGCGCCGCATTCGCATCACAGGGCAATGACGCCGGGCACGCTGGGGGTGGGGCCATGACCATACAAGGGAAAACCATAGAGTGCCCGGCGTGCCCGGCGTCATGACGTCACTGCCCTGTGACGCGCACGCCGGGGCGGGGTTCCCCCCGGGGCCCGATTCCCCGGCGTCTGGGAACGGGCCTCTGGGGCGGGGGATTTTCCACCCCCCGGGGGGATTTGGCAGCCCTACTCCCCGATCCTTCCAGGGCCCCCCAGGCCTGCCGACCTCAGGGTCGTCATGGGGGTGTCCCTCTCCAGGCCTTCCCTCTGTAGCCACACATGTGCAGAGGTTTTGGCTGTAGTGGCCGTGGCCAACTCTGAAGCCAGCCGGAACTCCGTTCCTGTGCGTTCCTGCCCAAAAATAGCCCTGGTAGAGGCCTTGGTGTCTCTGCCCTGTTGTCGGACGTCCAGAGGAACTGTATGGCCACTTCGTGAGGATGCTGGACTAGATGGACCTCTGGTCTGATCCACCAGGGCTCTTCTCATGTTCATGTACAGTAGAGCATAGACCTCAAAGCAATTGGTTTTGATCACTAAACCATTTGTTTTGTACATACCATTAATCATTTGCTGCATAGTGATTTTTTGGGGGGGTTTTTTGGTATTTTTTGCTCTAAATACGTGCATAATCCATCTCACATCCTGTCAGATTCCACCAAGGACTTTCATTCCTAAATGTAACGACGTTGTGTTTCTGCTCTTACACAGGATTAAATACTTGCCATTTCTAAAACCTGGATTCCGTTCTCAGCATTTTATAATTTCCTACTTTGATAATTTGTATATACTCAACAGCAAATTAATGGATGGCATTTGAGCATGCATTGATTATCAACTAATTCCGTTGCATTAGTCACTGCAGCTGCAAACAGCTGTCTCTGTGAACGGTTCTTGTACTTAGTTTATACGACGCTATAGGACATATAACTTAATTAGACTTTCATTGATTACCTCCGCATTGCACTGGCAGCATAATTAACAAACGCATACGACTATAATCTCTCATGGAAAAAAAGAACGACGCCTAGGGTTGGATCCAACAAGCATTTTCACTCAGTCTCTCCCAATTCCCTTCTTCAATCCAGCCTGCGTCCAAATGGCTTCTGTATCGACAAATCCCATGATCCGGTGCAGAGCCTTTTTTCGGTGGTCAAAGTTGGCTTCCTTTTTCGCCAGCAGAAAAGTTGGAGTTCGCAAGTTCTCTCCCTGGGGTCTTGGAAGAATTTACGTGTTTGTTTATGCATGCTGATATCCTTGCTATTTAGTGAGAGACCCAATATTTATTTATATCCGTGAATAAATAAATAACGACTGTGGGGCTGTAGGCGGTGTACAGATTAAAAGCAATAAAAGCCATTAAACCATAGTCAGACAATATAATTCAGGTATGTCCAACAGGTAGATCGTGATCTACCAGTAGATCGCGGAGGGGTCAGAGGTAGATCACCAGCCCCTTACCAGTAAATGACAGAAGGTGCATTATAAATGGGGGGGGGGCGGTGGAACCCAACTTTAGTGGGTTAAAATCTAATTTGAAACTTTATTTTCGTGGTGGTAGATCACTGGCATGTTTGGCTTGAAAAAACAGATCACTACCTGTTCAAAGTTGTAATTGATTAATTAGGACCAAATGGCAATTTTCGTGGTCCCTTCCCTTTTCTGGCCCGTGGGTGCTTCGTGGACACAGGGGGGAGGGAATATACTCCACAAGGGACAGGAAACCAGGAGGGGTGCCAGCCAAACGCCTGGCGGAACATCTCTGCCTTACAGGCCCTGCGGAACTGCATGAGATCCCGCAGGGCCCTGATGTCATTTGGCAGAGAGTCCCACCAGGTCGGGGCCACGACCAAAAAGGCCCTAGCCCTGGTTGAGGACAGCCGGATGTCTCTAGGGCCAGGGACAAAGAGAAGAGATTGGATTTATACCCCGCCCTTCACTTGGAGTCTCAGAGCGGCTTACAAACTCCTTTCCCTTCCCCTCCCCACAGCAGACACCCTGTGAGGTGGGCGGGGCTGAGAGAACTCTGACAGAAACTGCTCTTTTTTCAAAGACAGCTCTTATCAGAGCTACGGCTTGCCCGGGGTCACCCAGCCAGGTGCGAGTGGCGGGGGGGGGGGTCAAACCCGGCTCTCCCAGGCACTTAACCACTACACCAAACTGATTCTCCTGTGAAGAGCGTAATGCTCTCCCGGGGGTATACCGAAGGAGGCCGTCACCCAAACAGCAGA